ATAATAATAATAATAATAATAGTGAGCTGCTATGGGCATGTGGGTTAGAGATTGTTTGCTTGGTGGGATGATGAAAATTTACCAGATTCAAAACCAAAAAACCCAAATGCTCTTGGTCCTGAATATGTTCCACTGAAATTAAGGTCCCAAAAACTATAACAGTGGTTATAGTTTTTAGTTTTCAGAAATGCTGCACTGGTTCCATTTTCAACATTTGGCAACTGATGAATCCTCTCTTTTAGCCTGGATTTTACAGGTTGCTAATAGCTCAGTGGTTTAGGTCTCTGGCTACAGAGTCAGAGGTTGGTAGTTCAGTTCCCCACTGTGTCTTTTGACAAGGGCTGGACTTGATGATCCATAGGGTCCCATACAGCTCTAAAGTTCTGAGATGATGATGATAAGATGCTGGATAGATGATCCTGTACAACTCAAACTTATAATCCTGTGAACCTGTAGCCATCAGCCACCTCATCAACATGAGTATGGGCTGTATTATTGAGGTTATACACATGGGTTGGGAAGTTGCAGCTAAAAAGCAATGGAACAGGGTATGAGCAACGATCACATGTGACCATCCATGTGCAGGTGTCACAGGGAGAAGCAGTACCTACTGTGGGGAAGAGACTTTACCTTTGGATGGTGAAAATGGTGCCAGGAAATAAAATTTCCAGCAGAGAACTAAAAGCATGCCCATGTCTAGCTTGACTTCAAGCTTGAAGCATCCTTGGTGCTTTTCTTTTAATCAGACTCATGAGAGCCAGAGGCAGGAAGAACATTTCTGATCCATATCAAAAATAGCCATAACCATTGGCTCAACTGTCTGGAACTTCTAGCAGTTTTAATGTAAAGAAAATGATTTTTTCCAGGCTTTGAAACAGTTACACACTCGTCTCTTGGCAGCAGTACATCATAATGGGTTATATGATGCTCCCTAATTCCTACAAAATCTTATAGACCAGACGTTCTGAGCAATGACAGCTCTTTTGCTGGCTACGAATGGCCTTCACAGGTGCAGCAAAAAAACCTTTTGCCCTTGATATGGTTTTTAATTTCAAGCTGAGACAGGAAATGGAAGAGCAAATTACAGGAAATGTGGTTAAGCTGCCGTTAGTTAAGGGTTATTGAACAACTGCTAGCTTTGTTTTGCAGATATATGACTAGAGGTAGGAGGATTACAGGAAATCAAATCCACTTCAGTCTAAATGGTTCAAAGCGACAGTAATTAGCTGGCATCAAAGTAACCTCTGAGGGAGAATAATCAGAACAGAAAAGAGTATCTGCACATGTTAGCCATACACACAACACTGAAGGTTCTTTGCAAGGAGCATCATAAATGCATATCCACTGTAAACAAAAATATCTCAAGCACAATGCTGTGATGTCAGTTGCTTATGCAAGTCTCAAAAAAATTCCACCTAATCCATGCATTCAAATGTCATGGAAAGATAAGGGTGGAACATATATGCAAATATCCTGTTCTTGTTGCATTGCAGGGCTTATGAGAAAATGAGAATCTTCTTTGCTGGCTCAAGGTTTATGGGAGCATTTGAAGAGAACAGTAAAAACTAGTATCAAAACTCTTAACAAAATTTCATTTGAGAACTGGTTTGACAAATTGCTTTTCTTTTTTTAGCTTTTCGTTACTGAGTTTCTAAACAACATAAATCATTGGGATCTGGCCATGACAGCAGTGCACAAACTCAAGCTCTTTCAGTCCCAAAGGGCAGGGCAGCTGGTGATTCCAATTTCAGAGGAGTAGTAATCCACTTCATGTTCCAGCTTTAGCTTTGGAGGAGCTATCCAAGGTGCTGAAGCTATTTTTGTGGAAGGTTCACCACCTTGGACTACTCCCATAAAAACCTGCAGTGTGTACAGTGGGCTGCCCTCACTTCAGCACACCGAGACAGGGAAGGTCCTCTCTTCCCAAAATAGTCTATGCCAACACATCCATGCTGAACCCAAAGCCTTGCCTAATTATGAAAGACTAAGCAGGGTGGATGTGGTGGCGCTGCGGGTTAAACCGCAGAAGCCTCTGTGCTGCAAGGTCAGAAGACCAGCAGTCGTAAGATCAAATCCATGTGACAGAGTGAGATCCCATTGCTTGTCCCAGCTCCTGCCAACTTAGCAGTTTGAAAGCATGTAAATGCGAGTAGATAAATAGGTACCACCACGGTGGGAAGGTAACAGCATTCCATGTCTAATCGCACTGGCCACATGACCATGGAAAGTGTCTATGGACAAATGCTGACTCTACGGCTTGGGGACAAGGATGAGCACCATGCCCTAGAGTCGGACACAACTGGACTAAATGTTAAGGGGAACCTTTACCTTTAAGCAGGGTGGGGCCTGTTTAGCATGTGATTAGGAGACCACCATGGGACACCAAGTGCTGTACTGAGGAGGCTGTTCCTCAGTGGATGGCAGAATCAGAGTGTCAGTCTCAAGTAAGGCTAGGAAAGACCCTTTCTCAAAATGGTGGAGGTCCCCTACGATTCAGAGTTGACAATACTGGGCTAGATGCACCGATGGTCTGACTCGGCATAAAGGCAGTTTACTGAGTTCTAATATTTCTCAAGTCTTTACTCCCTCCCCAATGAGATGTCTAGGGATTGCTAGGGGTAGGCGGAATGCCCACAGCAGTTACTTCTGAGATATCTGTTTCTTTACTGCTGCTGGCAGGGAAACACTGGAAGCTATGGAACAGTGTCTTTTTTTTATTCTCACAGCTAGGCTCCTGGGGAGCAGAAGAGGTGAAGAAAAGACAGTGAGGGTCTTGTCTGCTTTGGGACTCATGATGAGCCACAACTATTCACTCCTGGACCAGGACTTGAGATGAAAAGAAGTTAAATGACAGTATGTATCAAAGGGCAAAAATCATGTTGCCCTAAGTAATGGAGTGAAGGCACCTGCACAAGGAACTACAGCTGTTTCCTGGAATGCCCACCATGTCCCCAATTGTCTCCCTGTTTCACAATTCATCATATCACTGGTGATGCACTCAGACACAGCATGGGACAAAGAAAATGCATTTCTGTGAATGCTCTTATGTCTGTGGAATATCAATAAGATTTCGATCTAAGCATCTAGCATGCCTTTGACTTAATTCAGCTCTGTTTTAATATTATGACAGGAATTCAGAAATCAATGCACAAATTACAACTATTTGGAAAAGAAAATCACTTCATTTAGATAACCCAAGAAAATAAATCTATGATCACAGTCTTCACACCATTTTGTAAACCAATACCACATACGCACCTCTGCACAGACTGGATGAATCCCTATTGTACTGTCTAGTAGTTCTTTTGTGATTCCGCACTTTATGGCTGCTGCAAAGCCCTGTGTAATTTCTCCAGCATTTGGACCCAGCACATGGAAACCAATGACACGCTCCTAAGGAACAGGAGACCAATTTAGGTGGCTTGAAACAATTACTTTTTTCAGGTTTATCTAAAGATCAGCTTTTCCTAAAGAAATGGTCACATCTCTCTTTCCAGTTCAGTTTTTCTTAATTAGATATCAGCACAAGGGACACGTTTTAATCCACCTGGGACTCATTCTGATGCTTGAGGATACAAGAGAATTATGGAAGGATAAGCATTTCATGACCTAAATATAGAACTTCTAGCTTAACCTATCTACCACTCTCAGATTTATTTTGTGCATAAAATAGGAGTCAGATGTAATATTGACAAAAAAGTACAACCACTTTTTGAAAAAGCACTGAGTTCAGCTAACCTTTGCCTCTAAAGGATCCTACAACTCTGGGTTAGCAAAAATGACAGTGAGGTACGTCAAATGTAGTGCAAACCCAACACCCTATTTGGGTCCCTCTGAAAGACTTGGGCAAATTAATGCTACTGATCTCCTGTGCTTAGTGCTTCTTTATCTATCTATCTGTCTATCTGTCTATCTGTCTGTCTGTCTGTCTGTCTATCTATCTATCTATCTATCTATCTATCTATCTATCTATCTATCTATCTATCTATCTATCTATCTATCTATCTATCTCTCTCTCTATCTATCTATCTATCTATCTATCGAGGTAGGGTGGGGTAAGGGATAAAAAAATAGTGCTCCATCTTGAAAGCAGCACTCAGTATGGGATACTGAACACAGACTGCCCAGTATCCCATACCTTATTGCCTTCCGGTTCGGCACAATTCTATAACCAGAAATGAATGCTTCCATTTCTAATTCGAGAGAAATGCTGCAGAACACAACAGTGCACCAACATGATTTTTAAAAATAGGATTAAAATAATAAATTTTGAAGTCATGGCTTGAATCAAAAGAAACAAGGTGGGGCTCTTTACTTTGACCTTCTCTGCCCTATTACAAATTACTTTTGAGAGAACCATTGAATATTCAGTCTATTTTAAGAGTCTGTTTTTTTCCCCACAATTTCTTTGGATTCCAGCCATTATTACGAGATTTAAAAGAAAAAACATGGACACTTGCTGAACTGATATTATCTCCAGAATTTTTTTTTAAAAAAGGTTACTACTTAATGTCTGCAAAGTTTAGCTAAGCTATTATTACACCGTTACAAAAATACTAATTAACAGTATGATTTAGAATTGGACGGGTGGTTTCTAGTGAGCTAATACTTTCCAGATCACACTTCCTTCTGCTGCAGGGCAGAAGGAAATCTAAATCCAAGTGAAGCATTACAGGAAGACAGTACTGCATCCTGGATTTCCCACACTGAGGGATGTAATTTAAGTGGGGTATGCTGTAATTCATACAGAAGGAATATTAGCCAAAAGGAAAAGGGAAAAAAATCATTTCTCCACTCACATATGACTGACTCTGAGGAGAACAGCAAGGCATTTGCTGAAAGCTACAATTACCTTATCGGGAATGCAGCAAATTATCTTTGCATAGCATTTATTGTTATCCCGGGATGGGACAGTCCATTCCAGCGGCCAGAAGTAACTGTGATAAACCTAGGAATGCAACAGTGACATTTGAGTGTTGGTGCATCCTCACTTTCTGGAAAGCAGCCACATAAATATCTAAATACAGTCGTGCCCCACTGGACGATTACCCGCTCTATGACAAATCCGCTTTACGTTGATGTTTTTGTGATCGCTTTTGGAGTTTTTTCGCTGTGCGATGATCGATTCCCTGCTTCGGGAACCGATTTTCGCTTTACAACAATCAGCAAACAGCTGATTGTCAGGTTTCAAAATGGCCCCCTGCTGTTTTTTAGGATGGATTCCTCGCTTTACAGGCACTGAAAATGGCCACCGTATGGAGGATCTTCGCAGGACGAACAGGTGTTCAGCCCACTGGAACACATTGAATGGTTTTCAATGTGTTTCAATGGGGTTTTTTTCTTATTTCATTTGATGACGTTATCGCTCTACAGCGATTTTGCTGGAACGAATTAACGTCGTCAAGCGAGGCACCACTGTACCTATTTCACTTTTCAACTGACTATTGACAATAGTTTTTCTGAGAGGTACACAAACTGTTAAAATATATATTTCAACAAGTAATACAGTTAAGTAGAAACATGAAGCATAAAGTGGTGGTAATTAAGCCAAAGTAACTCATACAAATACTTTTTAAAAGGCCAAGATTTAAAATAAGGTGTTACTTTCATCTTTAACTTGTGAATGATGACCACTGGTGGCACAGCAAGGCCTCTCCAAAGAACACAGGAGTGCTCCCATTCTTTGTACATTAACATATTACACAGCTTTTATGTATCTCGTATCACAGAACTTGAGGTGACATACAGCACTGACTAAACCGAGACCTCTTTAGCATAAACAAGGCTGCTGCACTAAATGCCATAATCCAAATACCAAGAGACTCTTGTGGGAACCTCCAGACTCGGCTGCTATTCCTACTAGGATCAGATGACAACCAACTACTGACACCACCATCGAATGGTACAAATGCACAAAGCAATGTGGTTTCATTGACTCTCCCCACTGAAACCCTACACAGCTCCAGTGGCCAGACTTACTTCCATATTTCATTTATGCATTATATTCCTTCTTACACTACAATTTTTGCTTTTTTCTGGTGACTTTAGTTTTTTTAATTCCTTCTTACACTACAATTTTTGCTTTTTTTCTGGTGACTTTACAGTTTTTTAAAATCTGTTTTTACAAATTAGAAAATGGCTTTAAAACACTTAAAAATCTCCTCAAGATACCTTAAAAAAGCACTATTTAGCTCCAAAGAGTAACAAGAAAGGGGCAAGAGAAACACCTCAAAAGGAACTTCCCTGTCACTACATTATTTCTACCAAAATATTGTATGCTTGTTCTAAACACTGAGTTCTCCTGCCACTTGAGGCAAGAAGCAGAGGCACTCTTCTTCCCAACAGCTTGAGCCACCAGAGCACCCCTACCATGACTAAGGTTAAAGCTAGTCTGTGTTTTCAAAGAAAGGAAGAATGCACCGTAGCATCACTCCTATTCATTGCACAATCCAATAATGATAAGGACTAGTACAGCTACAGGTGCTATGCACAGAAAAGAGAAGCCTGTAGTAGTTAGTGGTTACTGGTAAGTGGCAAGCGTCTCCAAAATGGAGGTAGACTCAGAAGAGAATCTGGCCATTATTTCCAGCAATTAGCAAAATATCTGTCTCTGAATGAAATTATCCCCATAGATTCTTAGACCCCTGCAAATCTCCCTTCGAGACAGGTTTGCTGATAAGAACACCAAGGTTAAACGCAACCATCATATGACACATAACTGCAAACCAAATCTTGAGGAAAGCCTCCCCCCTCCCAACATCATGGGAAATTGCTAAAATTCAAGATTAAGATCTGAGGTGCCAAAGGAAACTCAGAGTCTTCAGAGAAGAGATCCCATTTTTAATTGTAAAGAAATACCTCAATATTTCTGTCCCCAAATATCTCTATTGCTTTTTCTTCAGAGTAACCACAGGCACCATATTCCAGAGGAGTGAATACTGTGGTAGGAACGTTCACATAGTCACACTGTCAAAGAAAGATATTTTTCTGTAAGGGTCACAGTCAGAACTGAACCTGAACAATTTCTAGAAAGATATTTTTCTGTAAGGGTCACAGTCCACAGAACCTGAACAATTTCTATTTTTATTATTATTTTTTTAAAAGAACAGATTTAACATTTCACAGAAACCCTATTCCCGTATTCAGCTACCTCACATGGTGGATTCTATATGGGAAGGCCAGCCAACATGAGTTGAAGAAGGTCTCTACTGCAGATACAGCTGGCCTCCAACTGATGGAGACAGAGATGGTGGTGACACTCATCCCTACTCATGAAAACACAAAGTTTCATTGGCCCAACACAACATCCATCCATGTGTGCTGGGTTAAGGCAGTAGCTTGCACTATTTTGTCTGGGTGGCAATTACTTGATATTCTGCCATCAGATACAACCAAATATGGAATGAGAGGGAAACTGCATCGGCCCTATTGACTATTCACATTAAGTTACAGAAGGTCCTTTCTATATAGGAAGAAGTCACAAACACATCATTTTTAAAATACATCCTCTCCACTAATTCAAAAATTCTCTTGATTTAACAGGGTAATCAAGGATGTCATGTTTTTAAACATATGTTCTGATACATTTTATGGTGCCTAGTAACAGGACAGAGAGAAACCTTAAAACAGTTCTTCCCTCTTCTAATACACAGGAAGAAATATTCCTGTCAGATAAGCTTTCCCAACCTGGGCCCATCTAAATTTTTTGGAGGACAACTCTCATTAGCCCTCACCACTGCCCATGCTAGCTGTCTGAAACACCTTCCCAGGCTGTGGAAGAGTGATGTAAGATGACACCTGCTCAAAATCACCTGCACAACCATGGAAAATGTACATTTTCAGACTACAGCTCCCAAAATATTCTAAAAATCTTGGCCACTGGTCATTGGCTATGGGATTATGAGAGCTATACCCCACTTTAGAATCATCCCCTTTACTTCTATGCAGATTTAATTTAGCAATTGTTTTTCTTTGACCAAATTTGACAACCCCAATAGCAACTGCCAGCTTACCTTTGTTTTTGCTCCGCCATACAGCCTCCGAGCCAGCAATCTACCCGCCTGAATTGCCACTGGTGTGAGCTCTAGTTTGCCTTCCAAAACATCTCCAATGGCATAGATATAAGGCACATTTGTTTGCTCCACATCATTGACAGGGATTTTCCCTGTTCTATAAGATGATTTAATATAGAGGGAGGAGAGAGGGAGACATGAGGGGAGAGAAATGAGAGGCGGTATTACAGAGTGTGGACTAAAAGTCTCAGCATTTTGTCAAAATTATGTTTTCTAAACTAGAGACCACAATACAGATAGTGAGGGAAGAGATAACTGGGTTTTTCCTACCATCAGAGCTTGGATGTTTAGACCTGCCACACCCTGGCCTCAGTCCTAGAAGTTTTTACCACAGATTTCCTGCTACCACATGTGTATATAAATAGGTCCATGGTGGGTTTCTGCAGCCTCATCCTGATTTCATCAGAATGCCATTTTTGTGTATGTGTCATTAAAGGCATCATTGCGATTAGAGACATCGTTGGCCTCAATGGCTTGGCTTCACTTCATGAACACACACATTTTATGTTCGGTATGTGGGTTCAAGATATGTTGCTCACTGCCTTGACAACTGAATTATAGTGAATCATTTTTACCTGGGAAACTGTGCTCTTTTTCAATATGCTGATGATACCTAGTTATATCTCCTAGTAACCAAAAAAATGGAGGAAGCCATTACAATCCTTAATCATTGTCCCAAGGCCACAGTCAAGTGGCTGAAGGTCAGAAATCAGAAACTAATTCCAGATACTGATTGCTCTGCAACTGATACATTCACAAGGCCACAGTCAAGTGGCTGAAGGTCAGCAATCAGATACTGATTGCTCTGCAACGGATACATTCGGCTGCCACCTATGTAATGGTTAATGGAGTAAAGATCCCCTTTACGAACCATGTAAAAACCTTGGGTGTCTTATTAGACCAAATGCTTCCCTTGGAAAAACAAACAGGTGGGAGTTGTGGCAAGCTCAGTGTTTTATCATCTGTCCTTGGTCTAGAAATTTTCTCCCTAGACTACTATAATTCACTCTAAGTTACCCTTCAAGACAACTAAGAAGCTTCAACCAATATAGCATTCAGTAGCTAGACACAACTTCGGCTGTCACATTACTAGTCTGCAAAATACTATGTGAAATGTAGCAATGTACATTAAAAGAGCTATGATCTCTAGAAATTATGAGGTTCAGTATAGTAGGACCTCTGTGTCTGTAACAGCTGCACAGAAGTGAGATATAGGCAAAGCTAGAAACACTTCATCTCTGCAACATTATGACAAGAAAAGCTGCATTTTTCAAATTCAGTCTTTTATGCAACTACTAAAAGGACAGGAGTCTCCTCTCCATTACAACCAGGAAAAGAATGGAATAGAAAGGCTGAATTTCACAGCAGCAACCCATGTGAAGAAAGTAATTTTTCTCTGTCCCTTACAACAGGAAGAGTGAGATCATGCAGAAGCCTTAATTGCTGGAATGTTAATCATTAGCATTTTAATTATTGCATAGTTTGCCCTTTTGGCATGTTTGGTAATGACTAGCTGTTTATTAAGATACTCCTCCTTAGTGAAAGTGAAATGCACAGGAACAGAAATTTATATCTGCCTGACAAATTAAATCCTTTATGTCTATGAGATTGATGTTGCAAAAACACAAACCGCACAGATGCAGTAATTAAACAGTCAAGAAATTTAGCCTTACTTTTCATTGAGCTTCACTCCAACTTTCTCCAAGCCAATCGTTCTTGTGCAGGCATCCCTTCCTATAGCTAGCAACACCTGTAGAATGTAAGGATTTCTGAGTTAGTCATTTCTCTCCTGGCAGCTGAAGCAGATCTTTTAAAAACACATTTAAAAGCCTCGTGGCGCAGTGGTTAAACCGCTGTACTGCAGCCAAAACTGTGCTCACGACCTGGGGTTCAATCCCAGGTAGCCGGCTCAAGGTTGACTCAGCCTTCTATCCTTCCGAGGTCAGTAAAATGGGTACCCAGCTTGCTGGGGGGTGGAGGGCAATGTGTAGCCTGCATAATTAACTTGTAAACCACCCAGAGAGTGCTTGAAGCACTATGGGGTGGTATATAAGCACCACGCTTTGCTTTGCTTTTTAATAATAATAGAGATCATCATAATCATCTCTATACCAGAGCGCATTTCAATAGTAAAAACAGTTAAAATACAACCATAACATAATTACAATGATAAAAACATACAATAAACAATTAAGACAATATCAACAATCAAATAAAAAAAGTATAATATTAAAGTAAAGTAATTCTATCCCATTAATTGCTTATTTTGATGGTCAACCCCTATGGGGCCAGATGAGAAAATGCTCTAAGTCTGGAATTAGTCACCTTGGTCCTAGGGACAAGAGACCAGAATCTGCAGATCGAATCCTCCTACGCGGAATATGCCACCCCACAAGATCTATTAAATAGCTAGAGCAAGAGAAATGTAATGCTTTAAATGTCAGAACAAGAACCTTATAATATGTTCTTGATCTGATGTTTTCTCTTTATGAAAATAAGACAACCATCTGTCAGATCTGCTTTGATTTGGATTCGTGCATTGGGCAGGACTCGGTGATCTGATAGTTCCCTTCCAACTCAATCCTTCTATGGTACTGTTAATTATTGCATTAGGATAACTATTAGAAGACCCTAGGTCTGCCATACGAATTAAACTGTAAAAGGAAGTATTATAGAAAGCTTGCTTACATAATACTGACATGCAAGTAATAGCGACACAGCACTGCAAATCTATGGGGAAATTGTTTACGTATTTACAGTGGTGCCTCACATTACAACATTAATTCGTTCCAGCGAAATCGCTGTAGAATGAAAACGTCGTAATGCGAAATTAAAAAGCCCATAGAAACACATTAAAACCCGATTAATGCGTTCCTATGGGCCTGAAACTCACCATCCAGCGAAGAGCCTCCATGACGCGGCCATTTTCGCTGCCCGTGCAGCGAGGAATCCGTCCCAGAAAAGAGTGGGGAGCCATTTTTTTCCCGGCGGCCATTTTTAAACTGCTGATCAGCTGGCCGAAAATCGTCATTTGCGATAATCGGTTCCCGAAGCAGGGAACTGATCATCACAAAGCGAAATCCCCCCATTGAAACCATCATAAAGCGATCGCTTTTGCGATCGCAAAAAGTTTGTCGTAATGTGATTTCGTCATTGAACGGGGCGCTCGTCTTGCGAGGCACCACTGTATTTGCAGTAACTGTGATCATCAGCATAACTGTACCAAGGCATGGTCTACTCCATGCGCATCACATTTTCTTCAAAATAATTGTAGTCATGGACAGCCATACTTCTACAGGGAAAAACAGAGCATATAAATCCTTCAAAGCCATTTCATTAATACAAAAAGGTCCAACACAAATTGCTTACTGTATTGTATTCTTCCTGAAATACCCCAGCATTTTCTGTAGAATGAGCTGTGACTCGTAAGACGCCAGGAGTTCCTTCCTGAACCTGTTCAATCTACAGGATTTTGAAAATGTTATTACCTTCATGTGAAAGAAGCATGACAATTAATGCACAATGACTTAGTGCCCTTTCATGAGAACTAAGATTTGTTGACGGAGGTGAGGTGCCAGACTCTGTCCAATGGTAAAACCAGTTCTGATGAGGGGGGCTATTAAAATTAGAAGCTCCCTGTTAAATGTTAACGATTGCACCCCTACCCTGTTTATTTGTGAATGGGGAAGACCTTCACAGTTAGTACAGATTGACCAAAAAGACAAAAGAAAAGCTTTCCATGTGCTCAGAGAATTTTTAGAATTGGCTCTCAACTGACATTGCAAACGGCAATGTTATCTCCAAGGAAGAAGAATGACAGATACATGTGACATGAGAAATATAAGCTTCTTTGCCGAGGCAGTGACTGTTAAAGAGGTCCTCAGCGTTAGTTTGGATGTGGAGCGCAAAGTCTTGCTTTTGATAAATCAGTAAGTCATTTTTAGGACAGCTCTTCCACACGATCACTCCAATGAATGGAGTGGAAGTAAAGTTGCGGCCTCCACCACTGATTTATCTAACATCATTCAAATTCCAACACACATCCAACGAAGAGTGAGAGAAGCTGTGCTCTTTGAATAACTGTGGAAATGTAGACCATATTAACAAATGGAAGTGCCATTCTGAGAGGACAAAAAGCATTTAACCTCCTCAAAGTACTAATCCATCGCTTAAATGAATGCCTGCTCCTTTAACAGCTTTGTAGCAGGAAGGGGTAAAATCTACAACACCATTTTGGTCAGGACAGGTGACTTTCTTGGCTGGTAGGTCAACTGGTACTTCCTGCTACACAGATATTTAATGAGTGCTTTCACCAGTTCTAACCCTGGCCCCCAGCCAGCATCCAAGGCTGAGCAGAGAACTGAACTTGGTGTCCTGAGTCCTAGTCCATCACTCTGTCCACCACACCACACTGAGGATACTCCTGCACATATTGCTAGACTACAATTCCCATTAACACCAACCACCAGCAACATCTGAAGGGCCACAGGTTCCTCAATTCTTCAACCAGGAGGACCAACTTGGAGGGAATTCCCAAGTCACAGAACCTCCCATCTTAATTAGAAAAGGACCTGGGTCAGGTAGGGGACATGCCACAGCATCATAAATTCAGGGTACGTGCCAGTAAGTCCAGCAAATCCAATCATCGCCTTTCCGAAATATATTGACAGCAAAACACATGGAAAAGACAGAGTTTGGAAACATTATTTTGGAGGACTGCACATTCTAGAATTCCAGTGGCTATGATGGCTGAGAATGCTGAAAACCACAGTGCAAAATAGCAGGGGTTTTTTTTCAAAGAGCTGACAGAAGTCCAGTCATTCCATGGGACTTCTCTCAGAGGCTTTCCACCATCCTGCCACAGTCCCATTTCACATTTCAAAATGTAGCCTGCTATCCAGAGCCACGTTATATAGATATGTTCATGTACATGCATTTCTAGTCCTTCTCACCCTTTTTAAAGATTCTGTGAAGATCCCTTCTATTGTGGGGAATATACTGCATTTTATAAGAGCAAAGACAGCAGAAAGGGTAGGCAGCAAATGGACTTAAATGTTGATCAAGTAAAGCTCTCCTTAATCAAGCAATGGACGCAATTTAAGCACAAGGAACAAGCACAACGTGCTGTGATTTCCATTTTGTTCTATTACAATAAATCTTGTATTGTTTATTAAGAGAAAGTACACTTGCTCAGTGAGAGTTAGCCAGGCTCAATTAGATTTTTGTTTTGGCTTTTGTTTCTTTCTCACTGCCTGGTGAACTCGGAGCAAACAGAGGAGGAAGCTGCTTTATTTAACATTCTGCTCTTTGAATATCTGAACGCCTGTGCAATGCATTGGCTTAATGCTTCATTGAAACTGAAAAACTATTATCGTGCTATTGGGAAATAATGATGCATTAATCATTACAGGAAATGTAATTATTTCTCCCTCTCATACACAGACACATGCACATACATACTCTCTTTATCCAGCATGGATTCCCTACCAGTAGCAATGAATGTTGAAGTTACATGTTCACTGGTGTGTTTGTGTGTGTGCTTTAAAATGGGTTACCTTGCTGGGGACATATTTTCTAATGAACTTGATCCCATGTTCTTCCATGTGTGCTCCTACTTTGTTCGCCATATCCTGATCAAAGCCTCTCAGGAGGATGGAGCGCACCATGACTGTTACATCTAAGCCAAGGCCAGCTAGAAATCCTGCGCACTCAAGGGCTACATAGGAAGCTCCAACCACCAATGTCTTTCCCGGGCAATAGGGCAAGGAGAAAAGATCATCACTGGAAAATAATATATACAGATATTAATAAGCAAGCACTCACACACAAATGGGAAACACATGCCTTTAACTATCCATTCAACTAGAAGATGAAGCAACAGCCAAGACCACAGGCTTATTGCCATTTCAGATGCAAGACTCCACCAAGACACTGGTATACAGGTCTATGCAGCCAGTGAATGCCATCCTTTTTCCTCTGCAGCTGAGGTGACCAGTCAAGAAATGGGGCTGGCAGGAGTGAACCACTGTTTAAGAAAGATATTGACAAGCTGGAACATATCCAGAAGAGGGTGACCAGGATGGGAGAAGGTCTCTCAACTAAGATCTGTGAATATTATTCTCTGGTTCGGCCACCCACTCTCACCCTAACCTATCTCAAAGGGTTATGGATGGAAAGAGAGATGGAAAGAGAGAGTGATGGAAAGAGAGCCATACGTGCTGCCTTGTGCCCGCCAAAGGAAAATCAGGATATCAATATATAAAATAACAGATGAGACTCCTTCAAAGCCTCTGGTCCTGATCAAGCATCTCCATTTTTGTAGTTCTAATGGAAGACAAATACTCCACTGCTACTCTCAACATGGTACCATCCAATGTAGCAGAAAACAGGGGAGGCATCCTAGAACAGGAGAACATCTTTCCTGATCTGTCACAAGAAGTTATCAGGATGAGCAACTTTTCAATGGGCCTGAGGTGATATGTTTGAATCCAGAAATTATGGTGAGCACTAGAGAGGAATTCTCGAAAAAGTCCAGACATTTTTAGAAAAATTAAAACCAGAAGCTACTGGCAGATTATCCCCACCCCTTGTCTAAAAGAGGTTTGGCTTTTAATTGATACAAAATTATGAATTTATGCAAAAAACTGCTGCTTCTCTAGGCCCTTTCTAAAAATTGTTTTGTCACTGGAGAGCTTGTTAGTGGACTGTGAGTGCCCCCATTTACAGTAAGGTTCTAATCCATATCGGAGGTACAAAACTCACTTACCTGGTAATGCAATACTCTTTGTCTCCAGGTATGCCCAAATAGCGGGGCCTTTCTCCTGTGGCAATCAGAAATCTTTCAGCGGTGTAAAACTTCTCTACCCCTTTATTATTTCTTGTCTGTAAACAAAATCCCAGTGCATAGTTAGTTAATTTGTATTCTAAGCTTAGAGCAGGAAAGGCATTTCTCTTTATCACATTTATCTCCATACGGAGTATGAATTTGCTGCTAATGGATCTGGCTGCCACCATTAACACTTAACTTCCAAGTATGAAATGAAACCTCCCTATAAGGAACCTCAGCAACTATACCCTTCTGTACAAGGGTGAGAAATCTTCAGCCTATGAGGCTAAAGCAGCCTTTTAAAAAGGCTTGCATCCCCCATTGTTTTAGGAAACATCACATGGTTCAAAGAGAAGGTAGGAAGGAGTAGCTGTTATTTCTTTAGCAGACACAACAGGGGTTCCCTGTCCTGACCTCAGCTAGGGCACAGAGGACCTGGTTGGGTCTCAGGGACTCTGTTGGCTTTTGGACCCATTGGTCAAGAGTGTGTCACTCCTCAGAAATAAAAGACTGAAGCTAGGTCCCTAGCCAGAGCTGAGATGGTGAAGCTCAGCTAGGGACCTAATGAGGTAGACTAGGGTTCCTGGCCAAAGCACAGGCAGAAGGAGTGCATCACTGCTTAAGATATTGACAAGCTGGAACATGTCCAGAAGAGGGTGACCAGGATGGGAGGAGGTCTCTCAACCACACTCTGTGAAAAATGACTGAGGAAGCTCGGTACATTTATCCTGAAGAAGAGAAGACTGAGAGACTACTGTATACAGTACAGTATGACAGCCATGTTGAAATGTTTGAAGAGCTGTAATGTGGGAGATGGAGTATGCTTTGTTTTCTGTAGCTCTAAAAGGTACATCCTGAAGTAATGGATCCAAATTACATGGAAGGAGATTTCAGCTCCACATTAGGAAGAACTTCTTGACCATAAAGGCTGTTCAGCCATGGAACTGACTCCCTCAGAAGTTGGTAGCCTCTCCTTCATTGGAGGTTTTTAAACAAGTCGGATGGCCTTGTGTCAGGAATGTCTTAGCTGTGTATTTCCCACTTTGGCAGGGGGTTGACTCAATGACTTTTAGGGTGCCTTTCTGCTAGACAATACTTTGCTCCTATAAAAACCTCCTCTTGGTACCTAACCTTGGACCCAGTGATGTAAGCTGGTTTCTGATGTGAGCAGGAAGTGGACAAACTCTTTCTGGCATTTCAGCCCAGATGTAAGGAGGTGCAGCAATCTAGCCTGTGGGGTGCTCTGAGATATCTTGATGCCTCTCCCAAAATAACTTCCCATTCCTATTGTTCAATGTTTAAGCAGGCTGGTAACCCAGGAAAGAGTACTAAAGCATCCTCATGCAGAAAATCCTAGAACTCCTCCTATCTCTGCCCAGCTAAGCCATTACTCTCTAGCACCCCTGATTCATCTAATTCTCCTCCACCTATCCCAATAAGACTCGCCTGAGGACAGGTATTGGCTAAGTGCAGTATCATGATGAATGCCTGCATGCTCAAACCTGCCACAACAGTGTTAGCTACAGAGAAGGATCTTCCACCTGCTTCTTCAGCAAGCAAGCTGTCTCCTTCAATAATTCCAGACAACCAGCTACAACAGGGCTGGGCAGCTTGTGGCCTTTCCAACACTGGTGGACTACATCTCCCACCAGCCTCAGGCAGCATGACCAACAGCGAAAAAATAACAGGAGATGTAGTCCAAAATTTTCCAGAGAGCCTAAAATTACCCATCTCTGGTCTAGAATAACCCCTGGGGTTTAACTGCCAGATTTAGCCAGAACTTCTTGTTTGAAGCACATTTGCAGGCTACTTATTACCTGCTCAGGTAAAAAAAAGAGTAAACCAAATGGAAGATCCATTACCTTAATTCTGTGTGGACCAACAAATTCTCCATAAGCATTCTCGTACGTGACGCCGTTCTCCCGGAGAGACACCCTGTATCCCCAATTCAGGGAGCCAATATAATTCTGAACTGCCTCTGTCATAGACTCCCAGCTGTGTTTTATGGCTGAGGATTAAAAGAAAGAGAACCTGGCTTTCATCTGTGTCATTAGCTTCCCAGCACCTTCTTTTCAATTAGTAGGTTACCTAATAATAGACATGCTCACGACTGTACTCCTCCTCTTTGAAAAGTAAATTAAACCCCCCACAGATTCTGGAGTTTTGCTGAGATGGTGCAAAGATAATAGTGTGGGAAAACACAGTCCAGGGTATTTTTCATGAGATGCTGTGCTTTGTTTGAAACTACCCAAGCTCGTCTTTATATTCTTTTAAAGAAAGCTCTTGTATACACCAGACTTCAAATTTGTTGTGCTGAGCTCTTAGCTATGAACAAATATATCTGATAATTGCCTCTGTGCATTTCAGTTTTGTACGCTGCACTTATGTCTTTTTTATTAAAAGTATTCAAAAGGTAACCAATAATATTTTCAGAATATGCATCTTCTTTGAATTTTACCCTGACTATATAAAACAGGGCCTGAAACCTGTGAATCCTGCTCTTTCTGCTTACCTCTTTCCCCTATTCAAACCCCAGACAGCATCACAATATACATCATCATCATCATCATCATCATCATCATCATCATCATCATCATCATCATCATCATCAAGTGCCATCAAGACAACTCTGAATTATGGCAACCCTTTTCAGGGTTTTCCAGGTACAGAATACTCAGAAGCAGCTTACTCTTCTCTTCCTCTGGGTCTACCTTGGGACTGTGCAGCTTGCCCAAGCTCACATAGGCTGGCTCTAGTCATAGAAAGTACAGTGGGGAATCAAACTCCCAATGTCTGGTTCTGCAGTCAGATACCTAAATCACTGAGCTATCCAGCCAGCTACAACATATATATGGCAAAAGTGGAAAAAAAAATAACCCTACCAGTTTCATCCAACTGCCATCCAAATCTGGGTGCATCTTTTATAGCTTGACCAAGTAAAGCTGTCTGGTGCATCAGCTTTTTAGGTATGCAGCCTACATTTACACAAGTTCCCCCAAGCCCTGTAAGAGAGAATGGAAACTATTAAATTTCATTTGGGAACATAATCAACCAGCCATTCAATGTAATAAAACAAGTGTGGAATCAATAAAAACTGCCCTCTGTACATCATTGCTAGCAGTCAGAATTCTTCTTGAAGATCTTTAAAAAGACAATGTCTGAACCTCCTGCTGAAAACACTGCTATCTGTAAACCAGGATGGGTGGTGCGGAGCGCTTCAGATGTGACTGGACCGCAAGGTATCTTCCATTATTGGCCCTCTTGGCTAAGATGATGAGAGTTGCTAAACAACACCATCTGGCAGCCTGGAAGTTACGCAACTCCTGTTATACGAGTAAGTAAATTAGAACGTAACATCACAACAGCCAGAGGATGTATGTGTTATTACTTTGGGACTTCTTCTGCAGAATGCAGATGCACCCAAAAACACAACCCTGGACACCTAGGTAGGTAGGTAGGTAGGTAGGTAGGTAGGTAGGTAGGTAGGTAGGTAGGTAGGTAGGTAGGTAGGTAGGTAGGTAGGTAGGTAGGTAGGTGGTTGTTTGTTTGTTTGTTTGTTTGTTTGTTTGTTGCCCATCCGGCAGCCAAGGCCACTCTGGGCAATTTACAACAACTAAACAGAAAACAACAGAACAAAATAAGACGACATCAATAAATTAAAAGTGCAGAACAAAATACCATAAAATACAGTAGAAAACCTAGTAAAATACAGTACAGTGCATTACATTTAATAGCATAAAAACATGGTGGTATGTTAAAAGTTACTTTATCAGAGGCACTGTTGCATCAGACTGTTATTTGATCAGGAAAGGCTTGTCTAAACAGCCAGGTTTTTAATAGCTTTTTAAAAGGACTTATTGACAGGGCCAGGTGAACTTCAGGTAGAAGGTATTCCACAGTTGTGGAGCTACCACCGAGAAGGTCCGATTTCTGGTAGCTGTTTTCTGGCCCTCTCTCGGGGGTCAAAACTCTCAGCCACCCTGCCTGTGACAATCTTACTGGATGGGCAGACTTAATTGGAAGGAGGCACTCAGCCAGATATCAAGGTTTTATTTTATATTATATTTTATATTACTTTAATATTATATTTTATATTATATTTGTATTTTAGATTTTGTGTGCATTTGTGGATGGATGTAACCAGAAAGGATAAAATCTATGCACATATAAAATAATTTTAAGATGACAGGAGGTTATTTGGGGGATTTTTTTAAAAAAAATTACATGCATATTCATTCAACAGGAAAAAGGAGGCTCTAAGAGGGCTCACACACTCACTTGCCCACATCTGCAACCAAAGGGCCTATAGAAGCAAAATAAAGGTGAACACACTGTGCACCCCAAACCTTTGCACCCAGGCACAGATATGACATAAACCAGGACTATGATAGGCAGTCTGTTCACTAGCCAGATGTTGAGAGGCCAGTATCCTATGGTTCTGGAATGGAGAACCTTTGGTCCTCAAGATATTTCGGACTCCAGCTACCAAACTCCTCACTGTCGATGCTAGGTGGGGACTGAACTTTTAAGAGCAGTCCACATGCAACTCTGAACCTGAGATTTCATGATTAATATCCAGTGATATCACTGTCCCCTGTAAGTTTGTCTAATTCCCTTTTATGAGCATCATCACCTCCTGGGACAGTCAAGTAGGCACTGTGCAAAATAATACTTTAGGCTGTAAAGGCAGTAGATTTGGGTTGGACAACCTAAAGTATTACTTTGCACAGTGCTTCATTGAAGTAACAGGCACCGTAATGTCTGAAGCCATCAGAAAACCCCAAACCTACGTGGAAAACTGCTTCCCAGAACAATGGAAGATGAGAGTCACTGTCTTACCCCATCTTGTTCCCAAAGGAGTTGGAACCACAAAATCCAGAACCATGACCTTCTTTCCAAGTTTGGCCGCTTCCTGGAGGTGGAACAGAGTAAGATAAATATTTGAAAGGCAGAAGTTGCTTGTGACAGTATATATTCGCCCACTGTTCTTAAATGACTGCACTCTAACAAATGTAGGACTTCAAGTACAGTAAATGTATTCTTCTCCAGCATTCCAAACTATCACACATTCTTCTATACCTCATTTCATTGCCCTTCCATGTATTCTGAGCCTGCTCATTTGTCTGTTGATTTATCTCTCCACTCCTGTAGCTTTTTATAAAAATTCTTTGTACTTTAGCTATTCTTTGAGTTTCCCCCAACCTATTCAGACCTTCCTCTTCCCCATCATTTTGCTACATAAAGATAAGCACTTGGTAACTGAGCTAGCTGTTTATATATAACAGGAGTGAGCAACAAGTGGTTTCCCACAGACATCTTACAGGCCCCAAGTCCACCCCAATTTTATCCAAAAAAGGCCCAGTTTTTTGTATGAGAGCTTCCATGCATGGCAGTTTTTGCTTAAGGGTCTTAGAGGGTCTCCAAGACTGCCAGAACCCCCCCCACCACCAAAATACCACCACTCGCACCTACAAATGCTGATCTAGGGTTTTTCTGGTTGTTGTGCAAGCCAACTACACCAGAGCACAGAGTGCTGTCCTCTGAAGATGCCGGCCACAGAGAACAACCTTCAGAACACAGCCAAAGAGCCCGAAAAACCCACAACAACAATTAGATCCCGGCCGTGAAAGCCTTTGCGAATACATAGGATTTTTCTGTTTTACTTTTTAAAATGGGGGCTATGTGTGCATAAATTTGGCCTACAAACCCATTGAGACTGTCTGTGCCTGGTTTATATGTTGATCACAGTGTAACAGACGATAATTGTTTATTTACAAATTACAGGGATGATTTCCTACGTTGGCACACATGCATTCAACCACACCTCCCTTTCATTCTGCTTTAGTAACCAGCAGTTCCTGGTGCTGTTGGAAACAATGCCCATCTGAACTGGTGCTAAGCGGTTACTTCCTCTCCCAGAGCAGAGGGGGAGGACCAGAGGCCACTTTTGGACAAGGGGTGGGGATAATCTGCCAGTAGCTGCATGCTAGCAGTGAGCAAAGATGAAGGGCAGGTCATTTCCTTATCCTCTGACTCAGTCTCCCCGGCCTCTTTTTCCTCTAAGGGCAGTTTGCTTTGGTCAAAAGCCTGAACTGACTGCTGGCAGAGGGCTTTGGAAATCAAGTCAAGGGCTCCATGCAGCCTAGAGGTGCTAGCTGCCCACCACTATTCTGGAGACTCATTTTCAAACCTCTTACTCAGGAGTGAGACAAATTAAACAAGCAGTGTTTGCTCCTATTCAAGCAAGCAAAAAACAACTGACGTGTGACAATTATTTTCAGAATATAATGCAGCCAAAACAAAGAATCTTGATGTATCTTGAAGTTTAATATACTGTACTTATTACATCATAAGCTTTCTTGGACATTGTCCACTTCATAAGACAAAGTATTAACCTTAGCTTTGCAGATGCATAAACAGGATTATAAATAGTATATCTGCCAAACTGAGGTTAACACACCATGTACCTGATGACACAACACACTGTTCATGAAACTATATGCCATAATGAGCCCATATTAAAGAAACAAGATCCTTTGTTTACTCAGAAACTAGGAATCTGGATAACCTCCTCTTGTTCTCTTCTTCAAATGCCCCTATCAGAACAGCCAAACGAGTTGGCTTTTATTTCAAGAGCATTTAATATATTTAATTTAAACATGTTTCAAAATCAAATCAGTAATGATGTTATCAATACCTATTTCTATTTGTACCCATTTTAAATTTGTGAGCTATTTTGAACTTTTCTGGGAGAAGAGGGAGGACAGAAAAGGGAAAAAATGGCAAACAATTCACTCTTGATGCTCAGCAGACATAAAGAAGCAAGAGTAGAAGAGGTTGTAGAACACAGCACCTGTGATAGGCAAGGAGGATGGTGCATGAATTATCCAGGTTGGGCAATGACCTATTATTACACAACAATAGATAACAGGCAGATTAATTGCATCCCAAAGTCTGCAGCTGCAGCCTGTTAAAGAGTTCAGACTTGGATCTTATTTCCAAAGCATGCAAGTGCTCTCTTTCCCCACCACTAGAGATGATTTAGATTGCAATTATCCTTATTCCCAGCCAGAAGACGGGACCTCTAGTCATAATACACCTGAAATATGCCTAGGTGGGGAAACCATGAAGACCAGACATGAACTCTGGCCCATTTAATGATTTTGTTGCTTTCAATGAGTTTTTAGTAGTTTTTATCTATTAGTTTTAATATTATATCTCTTGAATTCTTTTTATATATTGTAATATGTTACTCTTTTAGCTTTTACTGTTCTTGCTTTCCCTTCCTATTAGCTACCTTGAATCCTTTTTAGGAAAAAGGTGCTATATAAATATTATAAAAAATAATAAATAAGACCATTCCTTCAAAGAGGCATTGTCAATTTTATTCATACCAAAGAAACACTTTGCTACAGCTATATGATTAGCTAATCTTAGATAAAATGAATGAACTGAACTGAAATGCTCAGTAGTTTAGATATCTGACTGTCGAGCCAGAGTCTGGGAGTTTAGTTCTCCGTTGTGCCTCCTTGACCGGGGCTAGACTTGATGATCTGCAGGATCCCTTCCAGCTCTGTTGTTCTAATATTATTCTATTCTAAATTCAGTATCAAATCACCACTGGAGTAGGCCCACTGAATCAGTAGGGACTTGGTGAGCCAGCTCCTCCATAAGTTTCACTGATTCAATGGGCCTACTCTAGTGGTGACTTACTGGATTTCAACCAATGTTGTGTGCACCCTGATATCAGAGTGTCCCTTTACCTTCTTGGTAAGGGGGGAGACTGGATCAAAGTCTGAAGACTGAATGCAGATTTTGTATTTGTTGATCAGCAGCTGGCTAGATAAATCAGGAAGGCCAGTCAAAGCCAGAAACTTTATTTCTAGTATAACAGTACAGGAATAGTCAAAATACCACATCAGCTGAGATTCAGTAGTAAGTCAAAACAAGAGCAGACCCACTGAATCAATGGAATTTGTATAGGTGCTGACTCACCAAATTTCCAGTGATTCAACAGGCCTACTACTGGATTTCAGCCACTATTTTGCCATCATTAGTGCCATTATATTTGATCTTACTCTAAATAGCCATGCTGTCATATGTTGAGAAAAAATGTTGCAGGCTTTTGTTTGGGCACAAGTGACTAGTCATCACGAAGAGCGATTTTTCTCCCCAGGCGAGTTTATTAATTGGCACAAGAGTCAAACATGTTCTCGGAAAACAAACTATTAAGATGGGCCTCTTATTTCGACTTTGCCTGAAGTTGTTCAGCACACACTTTGGAGCTGAGGAACCTCTCAGAGAAAGTCTGTTCAACCTCCCCTTTTCTTTTCCTCTTCTGACAAAAATTCAAGATTGGATTTTCACGGCAATTACTTTAATCATGTATCAAAACTAACAGTTAGATAAACGCCATGAAGGCAAAGGTGGGGAAGGAAAAAAAGTTAAGAACATTGAACTTAATTAAACACTGAACCATCATTTGGTTCCTGAATTAGCTACAACTCTGTCAAATGATAGGTTGCATTCAATGACAGGAATGGCCCTTAAGATTTCTGAATCACACGGCACTCGGGCTCCAAATTATCTCTTCAAATTGCCTTTCTTCTGAGATGTAACGTGGTGTGTTTGTCAAGTGTGTTAGCCCATCCTTGGCACCCTGGAATTACAGTCTTAATTTTAGGAATTCCAAGAGAAAGAATCACATATAAACACACTCAAGGCAAAGATGGATGTACAGATCCCAACTGGCCCTTCTTCAGACCAGGCTGTATTACTCATTTTTCTAAAGAATATGGCACCTAAAATCAACAACAATTAATCACAGGGACCCATGAATGAGCTGCTTTTTTCTAAAAGCCTCAACTCAACTACTACTTGCAGGACACAGCCTTCTCTAGAGAAAACAGGGGAATTCTGGGCACTGATTTTCCCAAGGTCCTCCTAACTAAGAGAAAGGTGAGGTATGGTTAAACATGGTTTAATCATTTTTAAGGCCATTTATATCTCTAGAACAATGCAACATTTGATACCTTGATCTTCGAGGTTTTTAGCTTACTATTTCAGCCCATGGCCACCTTCTGGCTCATGGAAGTCCCATTACAACACTCCTCCATTTCAAGGAACACCCTGCCACCCACCTCTTAACTATAAAGCCCCACACTTGAAAGGAATGACACATCTGTTTGTCAGAATACCTGGGAATTAGGTATGTTAATTATCTGCTTCAGACAAAGTCAGGTATACCTAGGAAGCAGTTGATAAGAAATAAAGTAATTAGTATGGAAATCAGCATTGGGGGTACTACTAGGGTTTAAAGAGTTTTAAAATGCCAACAGACTAAAAGGCGGAGCCCATGTTAATTGTCGTGTAATCTCTGTTTTCAAGCTTCCAACATGGCACAGCCCAATCTTAATGGCACATCACATGCTTTGCACCACCCAATGGTCTATCATTCCCAGGTAGGTGCAGGAAAGGCTCTTGTGAAATTCTGAAGAGCTGCTGCATCAACGCACATTAGGGTGGGCAAACATGTGGCTTGTAAGGGTGTATTTTATGGCCCACAAGGATCCCTGCTGAAGTTTTCAAAAAGCAAAACTTTAAGCAAAAAAAGAGGCGATTTTCTGATTACAGGAGGAGCAGTTTCACTTTGTGCTTAGAAAGCATCCCCTAAGCCCCCATCCTATCCCACGCCACCCCACTTCCATAAAGGATCAAAACTGGAAGTGCCCGTCTGGACACTTCTCATTTATTTACAATTGCTGGAAGCAGCAACATCTTGAGGGTTGAGATACATACAAGCTTGCCCATCCCTATCATATACAGTACTAAGCTAGGTGGGTTGACTTGGTATTGGGCAGATTCTCATGCTTGTACAATATGCTCCTTAGTACAGAGATGTTTCAGATGACACCTTCCCTAACCTCTGAAAGCTGGCTATGTTGCTGAGGTAAATGACAGCAGGTTGCCTTATCCTACTTTAAGCCAACAGTTTTATAGCCAAGAAATTTGATTTTTTAAAAATAAAATACCAAACATTTTATTTCCTTTATTGATGGAGGTATACAAATGCTTGAATTTGCTTTCTTTCTCCTCACAGAGGTAGCCTTCAACAATCCACTGCTTTCACTGTTCCCAGACTCACTATGCCAGTGCTCAAGCTGGTAATCAACAATGCCTGCTATAGCCAATTTACATCACACATTAACATCCTGTGGATTTGTGCTTCTGTTGCAATCAGTGATATAATTCTCACTATCTGTTAAAAAAAAAGTAACATTCAGCCATTCGAATAATAAACTCAGGCTTTATTGTAATTAATCACACCCTTGTTCTTTAACACTTGCAAACTCACAAGGTAAATCAAACCGCTAAATAACATCATCTTCTGCCTAGAACCCCAAGAGACCCATATATTCAGTCTAATTACTGCTAGGGAAGGGGGAAATAACAAGCGCTCAGGAAAAACAGAGAAGAAACAGAGAAGCACATTTTTTAGGGGAAGGAAACGACCCAAGGATAATATAGGCTGCCTTACTAATTAACAACAGAGAGCTCATTTTTAATTAAATTTCTGCATTTAATTACCTTCTGACCTCACTGTCTACAATTCCTTGCACCCAACCGCACATGCCATATATAGATCCAAAATTCTAGGTAACACATCATGCATCTGATGAGGGCACTACAGCCTACAGAAGTCATGCCATAATAAATCTGATAGTATCTAAGGTAGCATGGGGCTCTTAGATCATTGCAGCAAAAACAACAAACACAGCTACATCTTTGGAAATGGCTACATGAATATAAATTTTTCTCTAAACAGGTAACAGAATTCACCTACATTTTAAATTAGTATTTCCTTATTTAATCCACCCCATTCCAGCTACTTAGCATGACTAACATGCTCTGTTAGTTAAAACTAGCAATATAGAGATGCACTAACATATTTCACACACAAAAAAGAGTCTATGAAATGCTATGAACTGAATTAGAAAATCAGCCAATTAATTCTATCTACTACAACATCCACAAGTCTCACAACTGGACATGCAAGTTAGGGTTGACTGGAACTGTAATCCCACAACATCTGAAGGGCTTTATGTCCCCCATCTTTGCACTACAGTCATCAAGATCATCTTCTCAAGAACATATGTTATGCGGAAACTAGCATCTAAAAATGCTGTATCACTTCACAGGAACTTTCTCTGAGGCAACATCTTGCTTGGTACCTGAGATACATTCTCTCCCATCAAGGATAAGAATACAACTCTACACCACTTAGACTCCAGATTGCAAATCAAGGTTTCAAACTGTGTCACAAACATTTCTGTGGAAAAGGAAGTGCCAGGTCTATGTGAGGTAGAGTCACAGTGGCTAGATAACATTCCAAGAACATCGGAAATTGGCCTGCATGTTTATAAACTTCTTATGGAGTGAGGAGATCACAGCTGTCAGTGACTCTCATTCCACACAGATGTTAGTGTATGCCCAGATCCAAGATTTGAACTTATGAAATGGAATTCCCCTTCTTCCTCCATCTGTGCTAGAGGTGTTGGGGCCCTTTGGAAAAATTCTGGAGACCAAGATGGGTTCTGCAAGGAAAATGAAATTCCTGTTTTGAACAGGCATTTACTCACATGATGCTCGATTTCATGGTGGATTGCTAAACCCACTGTGGATTCCCACAGACCACTACTACAAAGCACTAGCAGAGAATATGAGTTCTCAGGCTTTCCAAAAATGTGTCATAGCAGAACAAAGCTCTAGGGCTAGAGTGTTTTTGGTTGATCTTACCTTGGATGCTGCCAGCCCACCTGAACCACCTCCAATGACGATGAAATCATAGTCATAAGAAGATCCCTCTGCTTCTCCATTCACTTCACGCAGCTTGTAAAACATTCCCCCACGGCGGAACTATAGAAAGAGAGAACACAATAACCTGTTGTTAAGAAGTTTCCACTGTAGTATAGAACAAAGACAGTAAAGACACATCACTATTGGAAGAAAATAATCGTGACCAAAAAAAAAAGGTGTTACTGAAGGTTTTTCAGAAACAGGAAGTTGTTGAATACTGCATCAAACAACAACTTTGAAAAGTTACCTCTCTTACCTACAACTCTCAAAATTTTTCCAGACAGTTTTTCTGAGAGTTGCACTCAAAAAAAAAAGAGGCACCTTTTTAAAGTGGAGTCAGATGACTTGTCTATCTAACTCAACATTGACCATGATTTGCCCATGATTTGAGACAGAAGCGTCTTTTCCATTCAGGGCTACTCAAGATAGCCTTCTGTCAAAGATGGCATCCCATTCTCACTGTGAAGAATCTGACTAAATTAGCAGTTGACAGAGTGGCATCACACCTGGGTGCCAGGTAAAATCCTCTGACCCCATTCCTGCTCATTCCTTCTTCATGCATAATTTACCACAGTGGCTCAGGTAGATGATTTACCATTTTCTACATTTTAGACTTAATTGTCTGATGCACACCTTATCTTTAAAAGGCCATAGGGGTCATCTCCTATATATATGAAGCACAAATATAAAATTTTTCATCTTGCTGTCCCTACTCTTACATACTTAAAAACTGTTTTTACATTCTTATATGTTTTATAATAATAATTGTTGTCAAGTCCGTACCGACTCTTTCCAGGGTTTACTATTCCCTTCTCCTGGAGGTGCTCTAGAACTGTACAGCTTGCCCAAGGCCAAAGAGGCTGACTCTACTCAAACTGAACTATCAACCTCTGGCTGTGCTGTACAGCTTGCCCAAGGCCACAGAGGCTGACTCTACTCAAACTGAACTCTCAATCTCTGGCTGTGCAGTCAGATACATAAACCGCTGAGCTATCCAACCAACTATATATGGTATAGCAAAATGCAATTTAAAAAACCAGTTTGCACATTTCAAGTAAAAGAAAAAGAACACATTGTATTGGTGTAATGGCAGGTTTTAAACTAAATTAAAGCATAGCACTAACATAACTAGAAAAACAAAATGAAGTTGCTTTGCCGCCCTGGTGCATACATAGATCTATTGCGGACTAAGAACAATTTAGATACATAAACCACTGAGCTATCCAACCAACTATATATGCTATAGCAAAATGCAATTAAAAAATCAGTTTGCATATTCCATGTAAAAGAAAAAGAGAATGCATTGTATTGGTTCAATGTCAGGTTTTAAACTAAATTAAAGTATAGCACCAACATAACTAGAGAAACAAAATAAAGTTGCTTTGCCGCCCCAGTGCATACATAGATCTATTTAGGACTAAGCACAATTGTGTTGCAGAAAATATAAATGCATGAATACATGTGTGTATGTAAATGAGCATCTATTATGATACGCACCCATCCATCCATCCCCTAATTTTTTACAAAAGGGGGAGGGTATAGCAAGCAGTTACCCTCAGTGGATCCACCCTGCTTAGCAGCATGGGTGCTGAAGCTGTGCCACTTTGTCCCTACCTGACTCATCTGGTGGGTAGTCATTTTGGAGGGGGGGTCCCTGAGATAGGGTTGGACAAGGTCCAGAGCACCACAACAGTAGCCTTCCTCAGCTGCTGATGTTTGGCCTAGAACTCCCACCATCTTGAGTCAGTCTATGGGATACTGCAGACACGATACCGAATTGAAATCTTACGGGCAAAACCAATGACTGTGACATAATAAAACATTTTAGACCTAATCCTTTGTCCGAATCTTTCCTTTGAAATGAACACCAATTTCCAGAGAGAGAACTGCAGGCATCACACCTGAGCACATGCAGCAGTTGGTGTGGGGGCAGTTTTGAACAAAAGCGTGGTCAAAATGGAAAGGTCAACCCTGCCCCTCCCTGTCTCCCCCCTCCCACCACCTTTGATCATTTCCAGCAACCTTAACATGCCTTTAGTTTAAATATATACATATAAATCATAAGGAAAGCTACATGTCACATCTGGTTGAGTTCTGATTTTATCTTAAAAGAACTCCCCACGGCAAGTATTTATAACAGGTTAGAAGCTAGTGTGGTTATTTTACTAGCATTTTTGGAGTCCCACTGGCTCCAATCACTGCTACCCTGTACCTCGTAAATATCCGAACATCCAAATACTTAACAAACCAGAATTGCCAGTTTACCTGCTCAAGGATCCTATTTGTATGAAACTCCCCCACCAGTCAGAGGTGGATGATCTCAGAATTTTAAAATATCTGTAGACACAGGCACAGAGAGGAGGTAGCTACTGCTGTCTCAGCACCAACCAAGATGATAAAAAACCCCAAGAGTTCCCACTTGGTTGTTTATTGCATGGAGGCAAGAATTACGTTGGATCAAGCCCCACTGATGTCAAATAAGGTCTTTCCATAAAAGAAGGTCTGTATAAATATAACGTAGAAAACAAGCATGCAAAAAACTACCCTTTTGCCTTCTTGCATCTGCTTTGCCAGAGTTCCAGTTATTAGCTCCAGAAATGCAGACGAAATCAACATGCCACCATGCTGTATCACAGGAGAATTTGGCTCCTAATTGGTGCTTGTAGATTAGCTGCCATTATTCTGCTTTAATGAATGTCTGAATTTCACAAATGCATTTTGACAGCTGGGGTCAGGAGAGCACATTCCATTCATCTCACTGTGTTTGCATTACATTCCCAAGGCCCACATTTCATTGAGAGCAAAAATTAGCAGAGCTTGCCTGCCTTCAGGGAAACGGATCCATGAGCACTGATCACAGTGATATTGGATGGGGAGAAATACAGGGGGGAAATGTCAAAATATGGCACTTATAAAGCATCTTGACTCTAGGCCGTGAAAATGGGTTATTTATTTAGGACTCTGGTTTGCTGGCGGTTTTGTTACAGCCCAGAACAATTTAAAATACAAAACCTCTTAAACGGGGAAAACTGCAAATATAGAAAACACACTAAATTGATGTTAAAGCTGTACAGGTGTGTGCTGTCCACACAAGTGGATGAAAGATAGACAGAACTACTAATAGTTCTGGGTGGTCTGTGTTAATCACAAAGAATGTCTGATTCAATGAGAACACATTGGCCTTTTTTGCCCTTCCAGTTGGCTGGACAGCTCAGTGAGCGGGAGCATGTGGTTGCAGAACCAAGGGCCACTTGTTCAATTCCCCACAATGCCTTGTGTGTGAAGAATCAGCCTGTGTGGCCTTGGGCAAACACCCCTAGAAAAAAAGGGGGGGAAACTCACTTCTGGTACTCTATACCTAGAAAGCTATGGAAAGAGTCACCCTAAGTCAGAATTGACACATTAGCACATGAATTAAACTTAGGCTGAATCTACTAAAGATAACTTGTTGGGAGAAGAAACAGAAAGAGACTTTTATGTAACTACACTGTGAGCTTAGTTCAGAAACTGAGAAGCAATTCCTGGGCTGAGCATATGCCACCACCACAGTACGTTTCCATGGCTTTTCAGTCCTAAACTGATACCCCTTCTACTGCCCTACACTGACTCTCTGTATGAGAATGATGTGTCCAAAAAAGTGACCTTGCACCCATCAATACACAAACGCACATTCTGAAAGAAATTCTCAGCATAAAAGATGTCACCATCGTTTTGTTTTTGCTCAAGACAGTCATGGTTTTTAGGAAGTGACAGAACACACACACCCCTTTCAAAAATGTGTGGTAAAATGGGATTTTCCAAGAGCTGCCCCTGCTGTGGCAGCAGCAGCTCTTAGAAAAAGTTACATTTTTTGGACAACTCCCAGACTCTCCCAGCAAGCTTGGCAAGAAAGTAATTTTCTGAAGCTCTGGATATAGGTCATTTTTCTGTGGGTTTTCTTGTGTAATCATGATTTCTTAATGCCTCCCTAGTTCCTGCCATCTCAGCAGAAGAAAAAGAACTGTGTTTGTGGCACCTGTCTTCCTAGTTTTCTTGGAGAGAGAAGAAAAAAGACACAACTTCCCTCACAAGGTGACCCCATACCCACAGAGCACATAGTACAGGACTGGAAGGGCGCTGGATACTTCCCCTATGCCACAGTCACAATCCATTTGTTTTCCCTTTTCCGATCAGAGAACAGCAACAAAGGGGTAGAATCCAAAATCAGATTCTGCTCCCCTACTCCTCCAGATCTGGTTTCTGTCTCTATACTGAGAAATCCAGTCGATTCTACTCAGGAACCAGAGGACTATGTTGATAAAGACAATCGTTTTGACATCATTTTTATGAGACTGCTTGGGTGTTAAGATCACAAGAGCCTTTGGTGGGGACACTGAAGGCCTTCTCTGTCACTGTTCCCAGACTTTGGAACTTCCTCCCATGAGAGGCCAGGCTGGCCCCATCTTTACTGTCCTTCCTCAAGCAGACCTTTCTCCTCAGGCAATTTTTCCTTTCATGAATGGCTTTCTGAGAGGGGGATTGGTGTGCCTTGTTGTTTTTACATGTGTTTTTAATATTGACTTTATTTTAATATAATTTTTGATTAATTCTTTTAAATATTTATTTATTTATTCCATTTATACCCCGCCTATCTGGTCATATTGACCACTCAAATATTTGTATTCATTCTTACTTACTTACTTACTTACTTACTTACTTACTTACTTACTTACTTACTTACTTACTTCATATATATATATTCTTACTGGGCAGCTAACAACACTTAAAATATAACAATGTAAATATAACATCAATATATAACATCAATAATCAAGTGTTCAAAATGGAAAGGAAAATGAAAAAACGTAATCAAATAGTGACTGGAGGGAAGGCCTGCTTAAACAGCCAAGTTTTCAATTGGCTTTTAAAAATGCCCACCGAAGGGGCCATACGAATCTCAAGAGGGAGTTTATTCCAAATGCGAGGAACTTACTTACTTACTTACTTACTTCATATATATATATTCTTACTGGGCAGCTAACAACACTTAAAATATAACAATGTAAATATAACATCAATATATAACATCAATAATCAAGTGTTCAAAATGGAAAGGAAAATGAAAAAACGTAATCAAATAGTGACTGGAGGGAAGGCCTGCTTAAACAGCCAAGTTTTCAATTGGCTTTTAAAAATGCCCACTGAAGGGGCCATATGAGTCTCAAGAGGGAGTTTATTCCAAATGGGAGCAGCCACTGCCAAGAAGGCTTGATTTCTTGTTTTTTCCTTCCAGGCTTCGCTCCTCAACCTCACCTCCTGGCTAGATCAAGTGAAAAGGGTAGATTTTGGTGGGAGTAGGTATGCTGCCAAATAGCGAGGCCCTAAACCATCTAGAGCGGAACCGAATGGGCAGCCAATGCAAAGCGGCCAGAGTGGAAGTGATATGATGGTATTTTCTCACCCCACTAAGGAGTTTGGCCAATGCATTCTGCATCATTTGGAGCTTCCGCATCAACCTCAAAGGTAGCCCCACATAGAGTGCATTACAGTGGTCTAATCTTGAGATTACAAATGGATATACCAAAGTGGTGAGCGCCCCAGCATCAAGATAGGGACACAGCTGGGCAATCTGCCAAAGATGGAAATAGGCGGAACAGACCACTGATGCCACCTGCATTTCCACGGTGAGTGCTGGTCCAGATGGATCCCCAAGCTGCGAACCTCATTCTTCACGGTGAGAGTCACCTTCCCCCAAATGAGAGGAAGTTTCCCAAACTGCTAATGGTGGGGCCGCCCACCCCCAGGACCTCCGTCTTGTCCGGGTTCAACCTCAGCCCATTTTCCTGCATCCATTGAAGTACAGCCTCCAAGCAGCGCTGAAGGGACAGAACAGGACCTCTGTCTTGTCCGGGTTCAACCTCAGCCCATTTCCTTCCATCCATTGCAGTACAGCCTCCAAGCAGCGCTGAAGGGACAGAACGGCATCCTCTGCAGTTGGAGAAAAGGAGATGTAGAGCTGGGTGTCATCAGTGTACTGATGGCACGATGCTCCACACCCCCTGATGACCCCATCCAGCGGCCTCATGTAGATATTAAACAGCATTGGGGAGATAATCGAGCCCTGCTTTTAGGTTTTAAATATTGTCTGTTTAATGATGTAAGCCACCTTGGGTCCTTTTTAAGGAAAAAGGCAGGGCAAAAATAATTTAAATGAATAAAAGAATAATTTTTATTGCACAATTGGTAAACTTCTTCAAACATTTATTGAACAGACAATATTAACAGCAACAATAATAAATTAACATTGCTGATTCACACATGAAAAATGGACTCAAATTGGAAAAGACTTATTTTGTTTGCTTGTGAATATTTATTCACTTTTTTGAACTTAATTTGAGACATTTATTTTATTTTATTTTATTTATTCAATTTATATCCCACCCATCTGATATATTCTACCACTCTGGGTGACATTTTAGGAATAATTCAGGAAAAGAAAATGCAGGCGTCAGTGCAATGGCTTGAAATGACTGACTTTGACATCATACATCTTCCTTTATATTTCCCCCCAGTTGTGATAATCTCTGAATGTTGTCATCTCTCTACCTGACCAGCCTCACAGGGTTACTGTAAAACCAAAATAGGGCTTCAAGCCTCACAAAACAAACGCAATAATACCAATCATAATTCAGCAACTCCCAGTCTCATTGGAAAGAAATGTCCATCTATTCCTAAATGTAAAAAGCAGCACTTTCAAATAAAAGACCAAGCAACAATACACACTGTGGTTATATCCAGTTGAATATAACGTGATGCCTTAAGTGTAGAGCTGTCATTAAAAGAAAGTTTGGCAACTGTTTGTGTAGGTGAGGAATTCTGATCATTATCACACCAATACTGTATCAAACCACCTATTGGTTTCTGGGTCACAAGCACATTTTGAAATGCTGATTTTGACAGTTAAAAGATCTTGAACAGTATAGTATTAGATTATGCCAGGAGAGGGTGTGAATAAAAATTAGCAATTTAAAAATAAAATTAATTTAAATCACATTTTAAATCGCGATTAGAGATGGGGATGACTCACCATTTTGGCGCATTATCCTGCTTCAAAAATTGCTGGAGATGGTGGCAGTGATTACGGTGTAGGGAGAGGAAGGGAGTGAGGGGATAGGCTGTGGGGGTGGGCGGCTGCCTATCAGCCTGCTGATCAGCGGGCTGGTAGGCAGAATGGGGAAGCCATAGGAAGAGAGGGAAGGCTAGCCTTCCCGCTCTTTGTATGGGGGATGAATAAAAATGGGGCAATAAAAAAAGACAGAACTAAGCATCCTTTTCTATTTTGAATGGTCAAAATAATCACAACTGCTGAGTGTGGATGGAAGCCACGAGAGAAGGGTGACAAAAAAGGGGGGAAAGTTAGGTTGATTTACTTTGGGCTGTGACTCCATTCACCCCTTGCTTAAGCTCTGCATTGCACCCCCAGCACATTCTCTCTCCAGGAACACAGCTGCTGAGAAAGAAAATGATGGCTTGCCTTAGGCCTATGCGGTATGATTCTGCCCGGAACACGCTGCTCTTGGGCACAACTATCAGATGCAACTGGTAGATGCAATGGGAAGGCCATTTGGGCCTTTAACAGGCTTTTTTTTTTTCAATTTTATTTAATCCTTCCAATATGACACTAACCTGAAAGTATTAATCCTTGGCTGCAGAAATAATGAAGACTTCGGCCTGAGCTTTTGTGGACACCGTCCACTTCTTCAGATGAACTTTTTTAAAAGTTGAAGAAATGATTTACTTCCACAAAAACTCATGCCAGACAAACATCCAGAAGGGCCACAAGCTATTAACTGCTTGAACTCCTGCTTTGTTTTGATGATGCCTTAAGCACATATTGTGTAAGTACAGAAAGTACTGCTGACATTTTCTGCTATGTACTGTAGTTGCAAAAAGTGCCATGACAATCTCCTGCAGTAACCATAACCCCACATGATGGAAGTATTGTGTCTTCAGCTGAAAACACTTTTCTGCTACTGGCCTCATTGCAATGATGTGCGTACACAGAATAGCTCAGTGAGTTTAGGTATCTTGCTGGGAAGTCAGAGGCTGGAGTTAAATTATCTCCTGTGCTTCTTTGACAGGGGCTCAACACCAGGATCCACAGAGTCCCTTCCAGATCTGCAATTCTAAGATGATGATAAGTCAGAAGTGCACCTGCAGAGCCCTGCTGAGAAAGCTGTAAACAGTGCTTGTGATGGTTCAGATATGGCCCCTGGATGATTCAGTGCTCTTCATTTATGATGGAATACACACAGTGCATATGGCTATGATACTATTATGCACTAAGTCCCATCTGACTTACGGCAATCATAATAGGGTTTTCAAGATATGCAAGATCTCTCCTGTATGGAGAATTAGTGCAGGGAAACGGCCCCAGAGGGAGACCACAGCTGCTATACAAGGACATCTGCAAGTGAGATCTGAAGTCCCTAGGAATAGACCTCAACAGATGGGAAACCTTGATGTCTGAACATTCAGCCTGGAGGCAGGCAGTGCTTCATGGCCTCTCCCAATTTGAAGAGACCCTTGTCCAGCAGGCCGAGGCAAAGAGGCAGTCCCGAAACCAGCAAAATCAGGGAGCTGGACAGGGGACAGATTGTATTTGTCTTCGATGTGGAAGAGATTGTCACTCTCGAACTCGCCTTCTCAGCCACACTAGATGCTGTTCAAAGACCTACATGCAGAGAACGCTACCATAGTCTCTCGAGACTGAAGGTTGCCTAGTAGTAGGGCTTTCAAGATATGCAAGGTATTTAAGGAGCAGTTTTGCCAATGCCCACCCATGAGGAGTTTCCATGGCTGAGGGAGTGTTTGAACCAGGTCTCTTGGGTCCTAGTCTGCCACTCTACCCGCTATGTATAGACAGGGTATTACCTGATGGTATCACCTGATGCCATGATCCAAAATCATATAGTATTCATTTATTAGTTATATTTACATCCTTCGCCTCCTCCAGCAAAATCAGGATTTGAACCTAGGATCTCAAGACTCATAACCAGCACACCAAACAAGAATCAAAGAAGTTTCGTATCCTGCCATCCCACTTCTCACAATGTCAACCGTCTCCACTACGTCTATTCCTTCCTTCTCCTTCATCTCCCTGCCTGCTTGGATCTTCGCTGGGAAAAAGGAGGCACCAAAAAATGAAACCAATACATAAATAAACGAACAAATCTACCTTCTTCCCAGAACATCTGTGGGAAGTCTGCAGTCACCCTTTTTTTATAAAGTCCTCCCTCAAATGCCTTTTTTCAGCCAAGCCCATGGTACAGTCCCATGTGGCTTAACTCTGCCTAAAGACCAAAGCAAGCACAACTAAAAATTTAAAACTCTACTAAGGCATGTCCATGTCTGCTCCCTAAGGATCCCACCGGGTCTGTGGAAAAGATCATTCTTATTACTTCCACCGACAGTCCTGTATCCTTTCCAACTCCTCCAAGCCTTATGAATCCAGAGGCACCAAAAATACAACTCAGCCAAGAGGTACTGTAAGTGCACAGGAGGTTCACAGGCGAATGCAGACTCCTAGACAGGTCTTCTTAGAAGTAAGTCACACTGACTTCTACACCACTTACTCCCAGGAAAAAAAATACCCAGGATGGAGTCTGAGAGGGAGTCTTTGCGAGATTGCTCTGAAGGCTACAATCCTCGCGCTCCTTACCCGGGAGCGTGGCTCTCCAAACTCGCGTGGGCTTACTCCCAGAGATGACTGGGGCCGCTCAGGAAGGCAGGACTACAACGCTCAGAATCCCCAACCCAGCCAGCCAGCCTGTAGTCCGTGGGGTGGGGGGGGGAAGAGAGTATCCATCCCCAGCTTGGGGTGGGGCAGAGTAAAGGTGAACAGCTGGCCGAGGTGTCTCTTACCTTCCCAGCTCTGTCGTCATCTCTGACCTGGGTCGGCCGGACGTTCCCGACGAGCAGCGAGCGTTCCATCGCGCGGTTCGAGAGCGCCCCTTTCAGCACCTGCCCCGCATCTGTAAAACCGAAAAGAAACCCGCGCGCCCGCGTGCGTCAGGCGCGGCTTTTATATACATACAGTATAGGAAGCGCCACCCGGGGCAAGAACCGAACTGGGGAGGGCGGGGCCACCCCCGACGTCACGCGCTCCGGCCCCGCCCCGCCCACTCTCTCTCCCACTCCCGCGACTCTTCTTCCCAACTTTGCTCCACGCCGCTTATTTCACTCATTCGTAAGCATGACTTGCTGTTTTCGCCTCTCCCTGCCCTCGCCAGTGACAAAATTACCCCCAGTAAATCGTTGACTCGCTCACTGGGGTTTAAGCGGCGCTCCAGAGAATTCCCTCCCCAAGTAATCCAGTTCATACGTTTCTAAACTTATCTGACGGCTGGGAAACGTTTACAGGCATTACACTTCTACACGTTCCTTTAGAAAGAAAGTGCCGCGGAGCCTCATGTTTGTGAAATTTTAAACATTAAAGGAAGTGCCTTCAGAAGTTTTCAGAGAGGAAGTCTCGTCAGTCCGTTTCAGCTTGGGTAACAAAAATAAAACATTGTGGCATTTTAAAGACTTAACAGATTTATTTCATTGTAACCTTTTGTGGGTTACAAGCTGCTCCCTCGCCAAACGGAGCGCGTCTCAGCCTGTGGCCTGAATACCTACTTGAGGAGGAACATGGGGACTGAAGTTTTTATCTGTTAATCCTAAAAGTACTACCATACTTGTGGGTTTGATTTGGTTTTTCTTTAAAAAAAAACAAGGCATACATTTGATAAGAGAGGCTGTAGTTTTGTATTAGCTTTTAGGAGAAGGAATCAAAATTCTAAGAAAGTATTATTTTTGTTAGGAAAACCTTAAAGCAGTGGTTCCCAACCGTGGGCCTCCAGATGTTCTTGGACTTCAACTCCCAGAAATCCTGGCCAGCAGAAGTGGTGGTGAAGGCTTCTGGGAGTTGTAGTCCACGAACATTTGGAGGCCCAAGGTTGGGGACCACTACCTTAAAGGATGACTAATGGTGCCATTGGGAATGCCCTTTCTAGACCAGCCCACTTGGTGCTGATTTTTTTAGCACCAGATAAAAGCTCTTTTCTTTACTTGGGCATTTGAATTCATTGTTAATTGATTTTATGAATTTTAAATATTGTTGTAATTGTTGTATTCTTATTATGATTACTCACTTACTGCCCTGAAATCCAAGAAAGAATGAAAGGTGATATAAAAAAGTTTTAATAAATAAATTACTCAGAGTATCCAACTTTTGTGCTCTGTTAAATGTGTCTTACTATAATCTTACTATTATACATTAGAACTGGCTCCTCTGACTATTTATGCTTAATGAGGGGAAGGGGTGTACCAATCCTGCTATTCTCTTGCCACGTGTGTTAGTGGATCATTTAATATGAGGCCTAAGGCATAATACAAATCTGTTTTACTTGCACTTTGGATCAAGCTTCAAAGACATAAAAAGAGGCTTCACTTTCAAATGAATGTGTTTGGTCAGGTTAGTGTGCTGTATTTCACAAAAGGTCTTCCAATTGTTAGGGCCTTTTATAAACAATGTTAATATTCATAATGTTAACACATCTTTTTTTAAATAGTTTTTTGTCATCTCCCAGCCAGAAATTACAAGGCAGATTTAAACTATGCACGATATGAAAGAGCCACTCCCTTTTGCTCTGGGCGAACTGCCAGTTACAGCATGACAAAGCAAAAAAAGAGCATTTTTTTAAAAAGTTTCCAGACAGAGGTCTAAAGGACTGTGGGTTTCCACACACACAGCACACGTGACCACACTGTTCCTATTTCACTGTAGTAGTTCCCATAACAGGGGCATAATAATATTTAGCATTCATCTCTTTGGCTTTCAGTAATCAAAGTATTTCACATACTCCCATCTCTGCAATTCTCACCAGCAGTCTTATATGGGAGAGATAAGGGAGTTCCAGATGTTGGTCAACTGCAAATCTCATCATTCCATGATGGAGGACGATGGCAACTGAAGTTTGACAACATCTGGAAGACCACGTGATCTTCATCTGCTTTTGCTGCGTTTGTCCACCACCCACAAGATAAGGTAAGACAACAGGGAAGGTATTGTTACTGCTGAGGGGTAAAGCAGGGAAGGGGCACTGACCTCAGAGTGCTTAGGACCTTCCCTAGATATTTGGCTTACTGTAGGAAGCATGATGCTGGCAAGAGGTGTCCTTTCCTCTCCAGGCACTCAAGGAGGAAGGAGAAGTGCACAGAATGTCCATTGCCAGGTCTTCCATCTCTCATAAGGTAATGTTCTCCACAGAGGCAGGCAGGCCCCAAAGTCAGGCCCTAAGTGGTCCTTCCTCAGTGCCAGGCCCTACTGGTGTTGGATATGATTGGGGTCATCTCAGCTTACACTGAAGAAATGCATATCTTCGGAAGGGGAGGAACAGATACAGTGGGACCTCCTCAGGGTTGCTAGACTGTCCTTGAACCTGCACAGACCTATCTTCAGTCTAGGCTGAAATATTCTTAGGACTGCTAGTATTTCTTCCTTTTCTTCTCCTCACACTTCCTTGACTCTTTCTGAGGGAGGCCAGGGGAGACATCTTGCCTTTGTTTTTAAGAGGCAGTCAGAACATCTCTGCATCTCCACTGCAGCTGGAGCTAGGGTGGCTTTTGTCTTTCCTACCCAACTGTATTTTTCTAATAAGATTTCTTGTTTTCTTATTCTATTTTCTGAGATTCCAAAAAGGGAAGTCATTTCCATTTCAGGTGCTGCTCGTTGGTGCTAATTGTTCTGCTAACACCTAGCAGCTTGTCATGGGAGATGCGTCCTGCGCCTGCCACAGCACTGGTGATCTTGAAGGTCAATGAGCCTATAATTCCTGGCTTTGGGAATCCTGTGGACTAAGGGAATTTTGGAGCCTGGGTGTCTATGGAAAACCAAGCCAACTGTCCCACATGCCACACTCAGAGGATACCCAACAAAGCTCTCCCCAGGGCGTTCTTGTTGATGGGGTACTGCCTAAGGCAGGTTCCCCACTCTGCCTAATGGAGGGGCCAGATTTAGGTGTTGACATCAGTGGATTTCTGATCTGAATCAGAATCTCTCTTTTTCTGTTCTCAACTGTAGCTGTCCCCTTGGGGTGAGATGTGGGAGAACATGGACAAAGGCTGCAATTTCAGATGTCCATAGCAGTAAGTCAAAATGAACTCAGCTGCAGTTGCTTTCAGTAAACCTGCATTGTAAATGCTGCCTGGCAGATTAATATCAGAGGGCTGGAGGAAGAAGAGAGAATGGGTGGAGAACAAAGCCTTCTGAACTTGAAACAAGGGATTGTGTAAGTTCTTAAAGTGCTGTGGGAGAGAAAGAAACCTACAATTTAAGCACAAAAAAACTGTCATAATTAGTAATCTTCCTTGCCTCCCAAAATGCAGATCTAAGATTAAGATCTGTGTTCTCTCCATGGATCACAAGGCATTGCAACAAACAAAAGAAACCATAAGCATCATTTAAAAAAAAACCCAATAACAACCAAGGACTACTTTTTTACTGGAGCTGTAGGAGTATTCAAAGACGATAGTTCCAGTCCAAGCAAAGGAAGTAAGGAAATCGCCTTGAGAAAGAAAACTTCTCTTCATGCAATGAAGAGTTTTAGCTGGTGAATCTGCATAAACCAGCATATGGCAGAAAGTAATTGTTCTGGGTAAAAGGCATGCTGTATTTATTTATTGTCTGTTTATCCATTTAGGTGCCTATAGATCAGTGGTCCCCAACCTTGGGCCCCCAGATGTTCTTGGACTTCCACTCCCAGAAATCCTGGCCAGCAGCAGTGGTCCCCAACCTTGGGCCTCCAGATGTTCTTGGACTTCCACTCCCAGAAATCCTGGCCAGCAGAGGTGGTGGTGAAAGCTTCTGGGAGTTCTAGTCCAAGAACATCTGGAGGCCCAAGGTTGGGGACCACTGCTATAGATCACGTAAGGACAGAGGATAGATTGGGATCCACTGGTGGATCTCTAGGTTGCATACAGCATTATTTGCATCCTGTCCTGAATCTGGGGATCCCGAGCCAAAGCAAAGGCAATAAAACTCTTTATTGAATGATTTAAAGCTATTCATCAGAATAAATAGAGGTCAAAGCCCTATACCTAAGCAGTAGAAGCATGCAGTAGAAAACACATACCTACATACCTCTGCTCAACAGGTCAGCTGTTGGCATCATTCATTAGTCCTGGGCCTGTGGTTACTAGGCTAGTGGTTGCCAAGAAGAGGTCAGCCTTTGTGCCTATCAGGCCTCCAAGGGAATTTCTTACTCTCCGTGTTTAGCCAATCCCACTCCAAATTAAACCCCTTAAATTAAAAATAATATGAAAGGATGGGGAGGAGTGGCAGGGGGTGGGGGTGATGCACCCCCACTTATCTGCATGGTGGTGCCAATCCTCAGAGATAGCAGGCCCTGTCTCCCTTCCAGGAGGGGGCTGCTGCCTCCACTCCCTGCACGCACCCATCAGCTGGCTGATGTATCGTTTAGTAAGCTTCTTCCCATCCATTATGAAAACCAGTTTCAAAATATATGTAATAGAAGAAGGGGAGATTAAGAAGTGCTGGACAGGTTCATTTGGATAACCAAAGTTCACCGACAATTTAAGCGACAATTAAAATGAAAGCCAAATAAGGAGCCAGCCCATTTTAAGCAAGAAGCAATTAGAACAAATCAGACTCCAGTCTCTTTATTATGTATAAATATTATTGGTACACTTATTATGTATAAGTGTATCAATTATGTATAAATAATCAAGTGGGGAAAATATTTCACCTTCAACAAACAAACAAACCCATAATATACTCTTTCTTGTTCTCAGGAACCTCCGTGCAGCCTTTATTCAGCAGAGAACTAGGATAACTAAGAAGGCAAAGAGTAGGCCCAGCCTAAGACATTCAAGACAGACTGAAGCGACATGCATGAAACTGCATCAAAGACCTTTATTTGATTTTTCTGATGGTCAAAAACTGAGCCTTTCAATTTGCAAACCAGTTCAT